ACAAATGTGTTACATATTATTCGTGGTATTAGTGGTATTATATTGGAATCAGCTTGGCATTAGTGGGGCATTATATGAGAAATTTTGGTATTTAATTTGTATTTTTGGCATTACTTTGGCATTAGTATACAGACATTTGTCAGCGGTTTACTCCTTGTAGATAATCAAAAAGTTTTTTGATAAAATTTGCTTTTCATGTCAGATCATTTCTATGAAAAATTACATTAGATTTTTATTAAAGACGCTGGGTAATTAAAACATTGACTAATAAACCTTGTCCACTTTAAATACGGGGTCACGAAATATCCTCCTTGGAGTGTTTGGGTTAAGGGGTGTATAATAAATTAATCGTTGTTTTATAATAAAAACCATAAAACATTTATTTGTGAGTAAAATAATGCAATGGTTGGATATCTCTCCTTTATAATTCGGTGACTAAAAATACACTAAAATAATTAGAAAAAAAATCTTGTACTTATTTAGTAATTACGTCAATATTAATTAATTGACTTTCTAGTCTATTTTATTTTATGTACAAATATATTATTAAATTTTAAGCATTAAGTAATAAAACACTTTGTGCCCTCTTATATCGTAAAAGGTTACGAAATATACTCCTGGTTACACCCCTTACAGAAAACAGTGTAAGGGGTGTAAATAAATTGTATAATCACTGTTTTTTATAATAAAAACTATAAAATATTTCTTATTTGTGAGATTAAAAAAACAAAACAATGCATTGGTTAAAATAAGTACATTCAATACTGTTTTCAATTGTTAATTCAATAATGTGTTATAACATAATATAGCCATTACTATTATACTATTATTATTAAAATAATATGTGTGTAACATATTTCTTTAACGAATTAACCTGTAACAGACATTTATATGCCCAGTATATTTTTGTTTAACAAACCAATCAGGAAAAATCCAAAACCTACCGTTATAGGAGGTATAAGACGATTAAACTTATATAATGACAACTACTTATCGGATAACAAATTAATTACTACTGTCAGCTAGTTCAGCTACTGTCTAGGTAGAATTTACCTAGAGTACCTACACCTACCTATGATGATGTAGGTAGATTAAAGCTTATTTTGACGTTACCTCTCACTTCGGTGTCACAAGCTGAATTTTTCAGGGATGGAAGTACAGTACATCACAGTACATGATATGGGGACCCTTATTCCGAAAGTAGTACAAAATTAAACAGGGTAAAAAGGCACTATCATCAAAAATCGATATATTAATACCACCGTATAGAGAAAACAAATACTTATTTTTTGATCCAGTACAGAATAAAGTCTTCGTAGGGAGTAATTTTTTATAATTATTTACAAAAAAACATTTCCATTAGCGCTTATGACCAAAAAAAAACTTTAAACATGAATAATCATTTCAATCATGCGAAAATTTGGTTTAAAAATAGAGATTTTTTTTTAATATAACTTTCATTTAACGAAAAACGAAGGCCTAAATGAAAAAAAGAAACAATTTAAAAGTTTCGCTCATGTCTTGACAAGGTATCAAAGCAAACCCCATATTTTTTGCTTTTAAACTAATAAAGATATATCAATAAATAATTAGCGATGTAATGGTTTTTGCGCGCGCTGGCCGACTGCCGCCGCTGCGCCGAGATTTCCTATACCCTTGTATATATGACGTCATGGTGTGGCAAATGTAGCATTTTAATTCGATTTGGGCTCCCTTATATAGGATAACAGAAACATTTTCAATGTTAAAAGATAATTCCTAATAATTATAAGTATCTACGAGTATATTAAAGAAATTTTATAAATAGGAATAAAATCAATTTATATTTGAACAAGTAGAACAACTTAGCTAATAGAGTAAACAGTTAATCAAAGTGTTTTTTAAAAAGATATCAACACTCAAAGTTTTTTATTTATCAATTTAATTTGACTTAGTTGAGTAAATATAAAGTGATTTTTATTACTATTATTCAATATTTCAATGCGTTAAAAGTGCCTTTAATTGGTTTAAAATTATTAGTCCTTAAATTATTATAATATCATTATCATTGAATACTAAACTAAGTATAACAACCTGGTAAATGTTGGTACTTATAATCCAGTGGTTATCCAAGGCTGTTTTTCTAGAAATATACGTCGGATAAAATTAAAAAAAAAACTTTTTTAATGACTTAAATTAGAAATAACTTAAAATCAAATGAATGACGTCATTAAAGAAGCTTTAAGTTTTCTATGAGCCTGCAGCTCTGGTCTGTTGAGAACGGCCTGCGCAGTACCTACATGTAAATGAATGTCTCAGAGCTTAAAAATCACTTGATCTGATTATGTAGGTATCATGTATATTTTTAATAAAAAGATAAAATTTTTGTTTTTTGTTAAAAAAATTATTTCTTATCGTTGTCATGTATCAGAAATGTATCAAACGGATGAAGCTAAAACAAACATGTCAGATATAAGCTAATTTTGGACATTTAAAAATGTCGTCGGTAAATAATCAGTTTATCAAGGCAATTAAATCAAATTACAAAGCAAATCTAGAACGCCAGTATCTGACGACCGATAAATCCAATCTTATAAATTTTATAAATGTTTGCGTTTGGAGAAATAATAAAAATACAATGCTTTTTGCTGGCCTTAAAAAGATAATAAACAAAGGTAGAAATAATACACTCATCACCGGCACGAAAAACGGACACAATTTTCATGTATTTTAAAGTTTTATCGGTTTTATATATTGTGTTCTAGTGTAGGGACGTATGGACCAAATTTTGATGATTTTTTAAGCAATTTGCATAGATAAAAGAAATAAATTTAGATTGGAATGCTCGGCTTACCGCTAAAACGTATAATTGTTTTGGGTCTCATACGTTTATGGGATCTGGCGCTGCTATAGCAGTTGCTAAGAACAATCGCAAACAAGAACAGAAAGAATTTTCTCTTGTCAAAGTCAGGATCTTCAAAAATTATGAAATCTTTTAAAATTTAAACCACCCTCATTGAAAAAATACCGAAAAGTGTTTAAAACGTCCATTTTCATAGTTATTTTTTATACAAGACGATAAAATGGTATTTTATTGTAGACCGAAAAGATTAATTCAGGAGTGATGAAATCGCGAGTGAATTATTTTTTAGGGAGACGATAATGCAATTTTATCGTTGTATGTAAAACAATATTCTTTTCCATAGCGAGTTACGTTTCAAAAATATTCAGAAAGTATTAGTTCAAGGAATTGATTGCGAGTAGAAAAAATATTGTGCTGGGTTGGCGTTGGTTTCTATATAATTTGACAAATAAATAAAGCTGTCTCTTTAGTTGTCAGTTTTGAGTCAATATTTTTTAATTCTCGTTCGTGTCGATTGCTGATTGAATTGGAGCCAGAAATGGCTCAAAACGAAATAAGTAAATTACCAACAGATATTCAGGCTGAATGTCTCAGGGCTTAAGGTGCATTTTCACGCTCATGCAATTGGCGCAAATTGGCTTGTGCATGTCCGATTTGCTCAAGTAACTTGTTTCACTTGAGTGAATCTGGAGCGGCCAGATAATTTGCTTGTGGTTGGCACAAATGCATGAACGTATAAACGACACTCCAACTTTTTAACTCAATCGCCTACTAACTTCCGCGCATGTCTGTAGCAGCGAATTTCGTGCCTTATTTACTTGTATCCGGCTTTTCGTTTTGCATATTTGTTGTTATTTTATTTATAAAACGTTAAAATAATGTCAAACGAAAAGGAATTTATTGGAGAACAAATGCCGGTAAGTCGTCTCGTTCATGCGCAGGTAATTACGACAGTAATTAAACAGTAATATACTCGTACGCCATATCCAAACTACTTCCATTTAAATCCCGAATAACTTAATGAAATGGAATACAAAAATTACCAAAAACGTGCGAGAAGAAATAAAGTTTTTAACCTATCCTCGCTGTTAAACTATCATTTAATCTACCCTTGCGGTTAAAGTACTATTTTATCCACTATTTTTGACAGATATAAGGCAATTTTAACAGTTGCTATGGAAAAAAAGTAATTATTGCTATCCTCTGAGTTTAATTTAAATTTTATTTACTCACACCTGTGATAATTGTGAAAAAGTGCCATTCAAAAACTTAAAAAGCTTTATAAACTGTGAACTGCAATAATCACTGTGGCATAACGTCGGTTTCCAATGTTCCATAGGTAATTCATACATGTCCTTATATAAAATAAAGTTTCTTATATGCAACACACTGTATTTTATTTATAAAATAAAAAAAATAATAATAAATTTGAATAAATAATATTTTGCGACACAATTCCGGAAAAAGCCGAACCGTTCCGACATTATTAAAAGCTTTGGATCGCGACCGTTGTAAGAATAGCGCCAAAAATGGTATCAATCAATCTAAACTTGTTTCATTTATCTACGACAATTTGTAGCTAAATTGTTTGACTTTTTAGTATCTCTTTCTAAATTAAAATGAAAGTTGCCATCTGTTAATTATACAATGACATTACAAAAACAATAAACACTAACTAAACACTATATTATAAGTGTGTTGAGGAGGACCCAAAAGCAATGTTAAAATTGCTGTAACTCGTTACTGTCTTAATCTAAAGCGAATATCTCCAATAAAAATAAAGCTGTTGAGATGAATCAAAAAATAAACTATCGAGAAAAGATACACCTAGATGATAAAATGATTTTTAAATTCCTTGCTTTGTTATCATATTCCACAGGGTGTTTCAAACTTTCACCAAAATATCAATATTTAATATAATGTTTAATGTTTTCCCTGGTATAATTGTCAGATGGAAACTTTCATTTTTAATTTAGAAAGAGATACTAAAAAGTCAAATAATTTAGCTACAAATTACTTGAAAAATCATCAAAATCGGCCCATTAGAACAAAATATATTAAACTTTAAATTACATTAAAATTTTAAGGCCGTTGAGTGTAAATTGTTTCTGTATAATTAAAGATTATTTTTTGCTCAAAATTGACATTTTTGTTACAGATTAATCGACAGCATAAAAATGACGTCATCGATAGGTAACCAAAGACAGCCGGGCGGATTTGCTATTAGTGATATTCTGGAGTTGGATAGGCAGACGAATCAGCATCATGAATTGGATCCAAGTTTGAACGAGAACATGTATACCACGACTGATTTGTCATATTTACCGAGAAGATGGCCTCAGATATCAGAACATGGTGAGTAAAAAAAATCTTATAAGTATAATGGTGGTCCTGTAATATGGAACCTCCGTTAAAAGTTTAGAACTTTTAGCGGAGGAGTTTTGAGTTATAACTCATCATACAGTTCCAGGCCTTTTACAAAAGCCAGTATGTGAGACAGTTTTACAGAGGTTAGTTCTAGGGTTGCTACCTTTTTGCAAAGTAAAAAAGGACATTGGACTATGAAGAAGGATTATAAATAAATCGCTACTTTAAAATTTTTGAAAAGTTTGGTTAAAAATAAAGCCTAAACCTTAAAGTTAAAATTCGGTGTCTAAGCTATGATTTCAGATTAAACAATAAATTCTAAACAATAGTATCATTTTTAATTCTAATTCATTTTATTTCTCCTTACGTCTCAAGTGCTGATCTACGGTGGAGACACCAAAATTTCTGCGGCCAACGCATAAAACCAGCATATTTTGGCCACCGAAGGCATATCGAAGACGGTTCGGAACTGAAAGCGACAGTATAGTCTGTCCAACGAGAAGATCCTTGACAGTGGTAGATGTGTCTGTCATTTTAATTTCAAAGTAGTTTATTTTATTTCACAAAGAAATAAGTTGGTACAACTGGAACGCATAGCAGGAAATTAATATATGTATTTAAAATTTGACTGACAAGTAACTTCAAAATATTGTGAAAAAAAACTGTATAAAACTGAAAAAATGTAATCGAGTTATTTTATTTAAAAAAACGGTATGTGTTAATACAAAACAAACAAGAACAAGACACCACATACCAAAAAAATATAAAAAAGAACTATTTCTACTTTCACGCTTTATGAAACTTCCCGCATTTATGATTATATTTATCAATATAACTTATGTACAAATAAAAATTTGTAATATTCCGCAGGAATAAATAAAACAAACTATTTTATTAATAATAACACCAAATTTTATACCTCACAGGTTGATTAATTAACTTTAATCTTAATTTTTTTAAACCAGTACCTTTTGACATTATTTTTCTGCAGTACTAAAATCCATTATTTACCTATCGTGTGATGTGGATATTTTACAGCTACTCCAGTTTTTAGTATGTGTTTAGTATGATCCTTCTACCATATTCGAGATTCACTTATTTACGACGAGATGGTATACGAACTTTATTGATAGTAACTTTATTGGTGGCTGCCTTGGTGGCTGTATAAGACTTTCTGCCTGGGCGAGTATTAAGCATAAACTGTGCTCTGGGTTCTACAGTTAATTTTCACTCGATTTTTCCTCCACTTGACTTCAAAAGACACAAAACACACGTAATAACACGAACCAAAATGCATCATCTTCCAAAACGCAGGGTATTTGACAGAAGTTGTCACAAAATTATAACCTATAATTTGGCAAGACTTTGACAAGCGTCAAAAATCTAAAGGCGAGTTCATACGCATCGGCGTCCGTTTGTCGTTCATCGTTCCATCAAACCAATAAAATTGAAATACGTCTGTCATTTTTTAAATAAACCAATAAAACTGGTTAAAAACAAAAGAGACGACGCATGACGGATTTATATTTAAACCCATCCATAGTTAACTTAAAAATTATTAGAAACTTTTTTTAGTAAAATAAATAGATTGGTATGGGACGTCATCTGCTTTTCTTCTGTCATCGTGTGTCGAAATCTTACCTGAGAAAAAAAACAGAGTATATTACCATATTAAAATGTATAATATCTGTAATACGTCTGACGAAAATATCTTTGGTTCAAATCTGCTTTTATGTATTGAAAATTTATTCGTGTTAAAACTAAACATAGAATAAACAACAAAAATAAAAATTCTTTTATAGGTACCGAATATGTCGTATGATCGAAAAAAGTTGTTTAGTTGGCTTGGAAACATTTACCATAATATATTTTACATATAAAATAACAACGATCCTCATTTCCAGGCCAACTCTAACGCCGTTCTTTGTTTAATCATATAATATTTTATTAAATTGTTTAATGATAGAAAATTCGTCTTATTAACGTACTGTACTCAAAATTCGTAAATCTACGGATTAATCAGTAGTTCTGGCAACACTGTCTCCGACAACCACTCACTCTGTCGACTGAAAGCAGAACTACGGTACAGTCTTCTTTATCCGCTGCGCTGTAAACGACCGATCAGCTCACAGCGGCGTAAAAGTAAACTAAATCTCGGACAGGCTGACGGTAACGCCAGCCAGTATCGGACAAGTTTTGTGATACGAAATCGCCCATAAGGTTGCGCATCTTATTTCATGAATCAATCGGCACCCGAGGCCAGAAATGCCTACCCGGTATATCAAGCCAAACTGTATTTTCTCAAACTTTTTTTTTTCGAATACGGTTTTAAATAAACAGTAATATACTCGTACTCACACTACAATACAATAGCGATCGACAAATTACAATAACGTGGCGTGTCCCCTGTTCTGCTCTGATCGATTGCGAGAGAGCATCCCTCAAAAATCGCCGTGCGACAGTAAAAAAAGAAACAAATAACCCTCATCTGTGTCAGCGATACTCTATTGTACCAGGGTGTAAAAACGTAGCTAGTGGTAGCAGAGGCAATTATACCACGTTCAAAGACTTATTAGGAGGGGTGAAAAAGAGGGGAGGTCGCTTTTGGAAATGAAGTACGGTCGCTCGGGGCTGTTTGTGCCTCGCCACAAAAAGTATAATCTTATTTTCCTTATAAAACAATATACTACTGTTGATCTGCAGTGGGATTCTGTAATAGCCTATGTTATTTTTATACGATTGATGAGTCACTAGACAGGAAACACAGGGTGTCAGAACAAGAACTACTACGTATTTTTGGAATTAAAATAAGTTCCTTGGACACAATTTATCTTTATACATAAGTGCTTCGTTTGTCCGCTAGAGGACTTTAAACTTTAAAAAAATAATCACATTTATTCAGATAATTACCGTTAATCCGATTTTCTCGATTTGAATGAAATTTTGGATGTCTAGGTTTTGATAAGTGCTTTGATATTTGGCTTTCTCAAAAATCAAGAAAAAGTACGGGAAGGGTGAAAACTACCCCCAACCGACATAAATTTTAGTAGAAGTATTTTTCAACTCCACCGATGACAGATTTTCTTTTCGTATAATGGTCCTTCTAGTATTTACTACATTTTGTGTCTATTGTAAAAAAACGCCACATCGCATAGTTTTTAAGAAAACATATTTTGGAGAACTTATTTTTCCAAAGCAGACTTACAAAATATACAGAGAATATATACCTTTAATAATATACCTTTAATAATAATTTACCTTTATACGAAAGTGCTTCGTTTGACCGTTAGAGGGCATCAATAAAAAAACCGAACCATAATTAATTTAAAATTTATTATTTTTTTAAGCTTTTAATGAAGCTTGCTGTCAAATATAATTTGTGATACTAACTCCCTTATTTTTGCCAACTAGATTATTAGAGCATAATAGATTTTATGCGCCGCCATATCTTAATGTGACAAAAAACGTTCTTTGGAAGGCAGCTTCAGGAAAATCTTTTTTTCCTCAAAAAGTATGCGCGGTAGCGTTTTTTTACAAGAGACAAAAAATGTAGTGAATACTAGAAGGACCATTTTATGAAAGAAAATCGGTGGTAGGTTGAGTTGGAAAATTTTTATACTAAAATTTATGTAGTGGTGGGAGTAGTTTTCATACTTCCCGTACTGTTTCTTGATTTTTGAGAAAGCCAAATATCAAAGCACTTGTGTACAATAAACTTACTTTCATTTCAAAAATACGTAGTAGGAATATTGGGACACCTTGTATGTGTAAAATGTTTAAACTATAAGTGTCTATAAAAAGAGAAGCAAGGAAAGTGTTCTGAGCGACCATAGTGTTTCGCATAAGGCGCAGTTAGGGGAGGAAACAGGAGGGTTGGCCGCAAACTACGATCGCCCGAAAGGTAGTTAAAGGAAATAAAGGCGTGACAAAAAGAAGGGCAGCTGCCGAGATTGTCTTGTCCCAGGGCAGATGTGATTTGCCACCATTACCGATATTTGTCACTAACTGCCTCCATGTTGATGTCACTGAGAGCGAAAAAATGAACGAAGGTTACATCGATCTGTTTGGTTTTTAGGAATACACAATACTCTTTCATTTAAATTTTTTTGACAGACAGTTTTTTCGTCCAAAATTTTTTTTTTTCTCAAAAACGGTTAAAATATTAGATATAGAGTGTTTAATAATATGAAAATTCATAAAATTTTACAGATAATTTAAATATGTAATAAAAATGGGCGTACCCATATATAATAAGAAAAGTGTTATCAACTTCCGTTATTTCCGGAAGTGCCACCATATTGAAAATATGTTTAATCGATGGATCTCGATGTGAAACAATGATGTGCAAAAAATCTGCGATCTAGATATTGTATTTTAGCAACTTCTAATGCACGCTCAGCCTGGGACACCCTGTATGTCCTCCCGTCGCGCCGCCAGATGCTAATAACAAAAAAATATGTCTAAATAAAACAACTACTCAGGGAACTTAGCAAAGACGTCTATTAAAAACCGTTGACGTTTTGTTTAAATTAAATTATATCAAATTAAATCATTAAACTTGATCAGAATTACCTAATGAGGTAAAACAAAAAGCTTAATATTTCTGTATATTATGATCTTTTTATAGCTTAAGTAGTTACTTATACAAATTAAATTAAATTTTATATAAGTAATCTCAAGTTTTTAATAATACATACATACAGCCATTACTCGCTGACGAGTATTCGACACACACCAGAAGATGGTCACGCAAGGCGTTTTCTTTCATGAGCTTTTCTGTGATTGAAAAGTCCGATACGTGATGTTATCTGTCTACCGCACTCTGGACATTCAAAAATCTCATTGTTTTGTTGCCTCTTTACTTTTTGGTTGTCGCTGTTAACTGAGTTTACAATTCTTCTCCATTGAGTTCTATTGTGAGCTGCTTCTTCCCACTCATTCTGCACGTTAATCCCGTTTAAGTTTTCGTGGAAAATGTCCTTGTACCTTTTCAGTTGTCCCCCCGGCCTCCTTTTACCGCCTACAAGCTCACCGTAAAGCAGAGATTGTAGAGTATGCGGTTTTCTTGCATTCTGCATACGTGACCAGCTCACCTTAAGCGGGATTTTGTAACCATGACTCCAATACTCTCGCAGTTAGCTTTTTCAAGGACCGGTACGTTTGAGACATGATGGAACCACCGGATTCTTAAGAGTTGTGTTTCCAATTAGAGCGCAGTCATCAGCGTATTGAAGTTCTGTGATGAATTTTGTACGTGTTTTTGCCCTGAGCCTTTTTATGTTGAACAGTTGTTTTATGTTTTTTTTAATAATAAATTTACGAATGAACGACAAATATAAACTTTCCGGCATGCGGCACAACATTCCGCCACCTTAAAATTTTGACTAAGTTTGATGTTTCATAACTTTTGAATTTGTAATAATATAATAATAATAGATGAGGTTGGACTACGAAGATTGGAATGTCCTCCTTGTAGTCCCGACCTTACTTCAACCGAATATTTGTGCGATGAACTTAAAAGCCCACCTAACCAAAGAATAGCTATTAAAGTTATTTCCTAATGAATAAAAAATAATGCCATAAATTTATCTTCACACTGACACCATTATCATAAAAATCGGATTACAAAATAAAAAGTTATGAAACATCAAACTTGATTACTTAAACTTATTTTTTTTTGTTTATTTCCAGCGTTGCCAAATCTTCAACATACCCATATTCAACCTTCAATGATCCCAGGTCTCCATCCCCCTCAAGTATCCCCAGATAGTACGAGTCCGCCCATATCAGATCGGTCGAGTGTCGAACCTCATAGTCTCTCTGACCATAACATGCCCATGGGATTGCCGATGAGTGTCAAAATGGAAAGCAACCCCTCGATCACCAACGATGGAATTAGTGAAAACGATGACATCGATGATGGAGCGGATGATGATGGAAAGGACGACGACAGAGATCAGGTGAGAATCACGCCAAACGAATTTTGAACAATGACAATTTAGAGCATCCGCACACTGGTCGTCTGGCTTTCGAAGCGGAAGCGTCTCGAACTCCAAGCAAATCTCAATCCACTCTACCTTCGCGCTTCGCATGCAAATAATAGTATTAATCACATCGACTCCGCATCGACCGCCAAACGACTGGTTCCTGAACCTACTATTATTTACGTAGGAAGTAGAGTTTGAGATGCTTCCGCTTTATTGTCTATAAACTTGGTGTATTTCAGTTGATTTCAACAAATTCCGACCGCAACGCTTCAGAAAAATCTGAAATTATCAATATATAGTTCACGCCGCGCCGTCATGTTGATCGCATTAAAATAATATTGAAATCGTGATTTTGTCATAATATTTAAGTATTTTAGTTTTTTGCTAGTGCAGTTATTGAGACTATAAAACACTCAGGTACGAGGTTTGTGTGATTTAACGCTGTTTCCGGTAGTAAAAAATAAGTGAAAAAGAATTCGAACTAGGCGTCGCGTCGTGTTGTGTTAAATTTTATTAACATTTGAAATTGTCACAATACAACACGACGCGATGCCTAGTTCGAATTCTTTTGTGGCGCCTAGTTCGAATTCTATGTGAAATTGTTCATATAAACTCTGGTATTTGCTCGAAGTCGCGGACGGTCGAAAGCGCTGTGAGATCTAAAGGCGCTGTAACAGGCGTAAATTAGCCTCCTAAACAACATTTTATAGGTTCGTAGTTTCTTATACCGATTTCATCAAAATGAAAAATAAATTTAAGATTCAAGCAGTTCGACGAAACAAGTGATTAAGAGGGGATAAAATATAATTTGCAATATTAATGGCATATTTTTTTTAATCAACTAGATTAAATGTTTTATGAATATCTTCTAAAATTATAATTATGTACCTTTAAAAAATTTCGTTATAGCCAAAATAGCCCTAATTATGCCTCACTAGCAAAACTGGTGATTAAAACTATGCTCGCTACCTAAAGCGGCCCATAAATTATCAAACAAATTGCGCTACAAAGCGATGCGCAACGCTGCGTTGCACAACTGATTCAGCGGTCCATACACTATCAAAAAAGTTGCGCAACAATGCGATGCGCAACGTTCCGTTGCACAACTGCATCACCCATGCACTTAAGCGGCCCATACATTATCAAACAAGTTGCGCAACGCAGGCTGTTGCGCAACGAGTTGCCAATGTATGATAGTGTTTGATGCGTTGCGCAATTGTTTGATGAGTTTCAAGAATATTTGAATTCTTTTGTGCAACAGGACTGTTTGCGCAACGCGTTGTGTAGTGTATGTGTGTGTTGCGCTTCGTTGTGCAATATTTTAGTTCTTTCATCCAAATTCTTTGTTTTCTTTTTCGTTTTTTGGTATCATCGACATCATCTAGGGTATATACGATAATAATTGACGCAATGGCAATTGAGGACATGATTGTTTTTCAAACAATGCACAACTTTTAATAAGAAGTTTGATCAAAATTTTCCTAAGTGCATGGGTGAGGCAGTTGTGCAACGGAACGTTGCGCATCGCTTTGTTGCGCAACTTGTTTGATAGTGTATGGACCGCTGAATCAGTTGTGCAACGCAACGTTGCGCATCGCTTCGTTGCGCAATTTGTTTGATAATGTATGGGCCGCTTTAGTAAAATTTTGATCAAACTTTTTATTAAAAGTTGTGCATTGTTTGAGAAACAATCATGTCTTCAATTGCCATTGCGTCAATTATTATCGTATTTACCCTAGATGATGTCGATGATACCAAAAAACGAAAAAGAAAACAAAGAATTTGGATGAAAGAACTAAAATATTGCACAACGAAGCGCAACACACACATACACTACACAACGCGTTGCGCAGACAGTCCTGTTGCACAAAAGATTTCAAACATTCTTGAAACTCATCAAACAATTGCGCAACGCATCAAACACTACCATACATTGGCAACTCGTTGCGCAACAACCTGCGTTGCGCAATTTGTTTGATAATGTATGGGCCGCTTTAGTTGAAATCATCTAAAAAGTGTTTTTAACTGGAATAATAAATTATAATACAAGTTAGACCTTCTGCAGATATCAAAATATTTACTTTTAATTTTTATTTTTAGAATTTTCACAAATTATACTTCCTAACATTTTTAGAATAATTAAATAATACATTTTTCGTATACTCGCTATTTAAACCTGTGTAATTATATATATCGATTGTGTACGATATTCTCCGATTGTGACAGCAACGGCGGAGAATGCACCAAGGCTATAAAATATTCAGTTATTAATTAAATTTTGGGTCTTATTTAGTTACTAAAAATAGGAATAATTGTTTTCAGAAGACAGGGACCAGTCAAAAAAAGAGAAAGAGGCGGGTTTTATTTTCCAAAGCCCAAACTTACGAATTGGAGAGGAGGTTCAGACAGCAAAAGTATTTATCAGCTCCAGAGAGGGAGCACCTAGCCTCAATTATTCGATTAACGCCCACACAAGTCAAAATATGGTTCCAAAATCATCGGTAAGATTAGATTTTATGAAATTATATACCTATGTTGTAAGATGCTTTTACTTATTCTTTACCGCCAAGTCGAGCACGCCGTACCATCCTTTTCTCGAAGGTATTAGCGGCACTTTTGACCACCCTGTAACTTCGTTGTGGATAAAGCAAGAATATTAATTTTTACTAAACATGAGGACATACTATAGCTGGCTAGATTACCAAAATATCTAGTAATTATACGCCATAGTTTATGAATTATCGCCTGTCAAATTTCTTTAATTTCGACATTGACTCATTGACAGATCATCAAAATTTTACGGTACTTCTAGATGTGTCACAAACTTCAAATTTTGAATTTCAGTTAGGTTTAAGCTTATAACCAAAGGAAAAAATGAAAAATCGCGAAATATTGCGCCTTGTAAAATATACAGGGTGGTCCGAATTGTATTTCGGAAACTTCGGCAGCATATTCTGCAGATAAAAATAAGTAAAAATGTTCGTATAAATGTATGTCCTAAAATGCTTAGTTTCGGAGATACAGGGTGTAGAAGTTTCATTTTTATTTCGATTTTTTCTAAATAATTTCTGAAATAACGTCAATATTTGCAGGAAAATTGGGATCTGGGAGTTTTTTGACATGAGAAATTTGATTTTGATGTCAATATGACTCCTACTAGTAGAGGGCGCCACCTACATGTGTTTTAACTGTTTTGAAGCGTAATAACTTTTTGTCCGTACGTGTATAAAACTACCGAGCGAAAGAATATACATCTCTGTGACTTTTTACGTAAAAAATATCTTTTTGTAAAAATCGCTACGAGCAACCGTTCTTAAGATATTTAGAATGGAAACAGTCAATACATGTCATTATTGACGAAAAATAAACACGTTAAGTAGATATAGTATTTCACTGAAATAATAAATTTGGGAAATTTATATTTTTTTTTAAATTAATCATAAATTTTTCTGCAAAAAATGATAGTAAAACAGTTTCTGTTGAACTTTTGGCACAAAAACATTTCAAATTTATGATTTCAGTCTAATAACTATTTAGTCAACATGTTTAATTTATGTCAATGATGACAGGTATTGATAATTTCGATTCCAAATATCTCGAAAACCATTACTCGTAGGGATTTTTACCAAGAGACCTTTTTCACGTAAAAAACGTCGTGAATGTATATTTTTCTACTCAGTAGTTTTATACAGATACGAACGAAAAGTTATTACTCTTCAAACCAGTTAAAAATATGTAGGTGGCGCCCTCTATTACTAGGAGTCATATTGACATCAAAATCAAATTTCTCATGTCAAAAAACTCCCAGACACCAATTTTCATCCAAATATTGGCGTTACTTCAGAAATTATTTGGAAAAATCGAAATAAAAACGAAACTTCAACGCTCTATATTTCCGAAACTATGCATTTTAGGACATATATTTGTACGAACTTTTTTACTTATTTTTATCTGCAGCATATGTTGCCGAAGTTTCCGGAATACAGTTCGGACCACCCTGTATAAATATATTGTGCCGTGTAACTGCCAAGTCATTACTCGTATAATTATTACACAGAAATAAGAATGTCTAATATTGTATTAGAGAGCATCTTTGTATCTCCATTCATAAACGAGAAACCCCATAAAACGCTAGAAAATGGGACACTCTGTACGCATGTGTTTTTAAAATAATCAAAATGTTGGCATATAAAAAAGTTGCTTAGTCAACTAAACTATTAGAACTGAAAACTCCGTCAATAAAATTTGCCTTTACGTTAATCATAATGTCAATTTATCAGCTACTGAAAATCCATGGATTAAAGATGTCAAGTTTGCTATGGTATTTAAGGAAATTTGATAATTACGTATAATAAGTATCAATCAAATCGAATAGCTGTAAAAATAAATGTTGGCTTATTTAATAAAAATCGTCGATAAAGGTGCCAACATGTTATGTATAGATTTGTTTGTGGCTTATCAGTTGTTGACATAGAATATAGAACTGATAAATATTTTCCTAATATTTTAAAATTTTGATTTTTGAAATAGTAATAATCTATACTAATATATAAAATCCTTAAGTTATACTGGACATACTGATTAATCACGATCCTGCTCAAACCACTCAACGTAAGAAGCTCAATTTTGGCATACCGGTTGATTCTAGGGTGTAGAGGTTCGATAAGAAGGGATTTTTCGAAATTCCAGTTCCAAGAGGGTGAAAAACGCTTAAACGCGCATATTTTATTTTGTTTTTTACATATTTTAAGATTTTTTAAAAATGTATACAGGGTGTTTCGAAAAATCTGGTCATTGATTAATCACGATCCTGCTTAAAGCGCTTGACGTAAAAAGCTGATTTTTGGAAAACTGATTGACTTTAGGGTGTAGAAGTTCGATAAGAAGGGATTTTTCGAAACTCGAATTCTAAGGGGATGAAACTATCCCTCGAATATTAAAATATTTTTTATTTAAAAACCGGTTAGTTTTTCGGAAAAACTCTTAAACACGTATTTTGTTGTTTTACATATTTTAAGATTTTTTATAAATTCATACAGGGTGTTTCATAAAATATGACCATTGAGTAATCACGATTCTGCTAAAAACTGCTTGACGTTTAAAGTTGATTTTTAGCAAACCGATTGACTGTGGGGTGTAGAGGTTCTATAAGGAGAGGTTTCTCTAATCTCAAATTCCAAGAGGGTGAAAACGCCCCTCAAATATTACAATGTTTGTTATTTAAAAAACGGTTAGTCTTTCGGGAAAACGCTTGGACATGCATAATTTATTTGTTTTTTTACATATTTTGAAATTTTTTAAAAAGTCATACAGGGTGTTCCAAAAAGTTGGGTAATTTCTTAACCACGATTCTGCTTAAACTGCTTGACGTAAAAAGCTTATTTTTGGCAAACGGATTTTTTGAAAGTCAAATTCCAACGAGATGAAACTACCCATCAAATATTACCAAGTTATATAATAATATCGCCATATTGTTTTTTCTCATGCTGACATAAATGTGAGAAAATTTTATCCAGTTTGTATATTAATGGAAATTCTTGCTTTGCTTTATCATCACCATTACAAATGATTAATTCGACGCGAACGAAGTCGCTGGTACACGCTAGTGTATTATAAAGATACAGGGTATTTTCGGAGTCTCTAAAATATTTAATTGATTTTAACAGTGGATACTTAGTAAACTATTCTAAGTTCTAATCTAAGTTAATGGTTGTGCTGACATGACGGATAAAAATGGTATAAAAGTATAACAATAATTTTTAAAAAAATAATTATAAGCGATCTTTGATGGTAAGTGCCATTACAATCGCAAATTATTGAATTAATGGCTACTCATTGTTTGGCAGATAAAAATATTTTATTAAAATTTAATCGGTTTCTGTTTTTTGTCACTCTTTGTATACGTGTATTTTAAATCACGCGCCCAATACATGCTTTTCCCTTTTAATAAGGTAAACAACTTATTAATATAAAAATAATAACTGATATATTTGCAATAGTTATATTCAGATATCGATCATCAAATAACAGCGATATGTACGAGCAAAAATATTAATAGCGTCAATTAAATCTAAGTTGCTAAAACATCGATATGCACTTATGGTATTTATTAAAAACTATTTTATTTTTGTGTTAGTATTTAATTTATTACGTTTATAAGATAATTTAAGCTACAAAAGCTACAGCTATAAAGTTTCAAAACAGCAAATTCTTTAAATTTTAATAATTTATGTATTTTTTAAAGAATTCTGGTTTTATTGTCACTGGAAGTAAATCTAAAAAAAAATTGTGTGCACTATGTGCGTATATTTGAAGTGAAACTTCTTACGAACAGCTATTAAATTGAAGGATTTGAAGGACATGTTTGAAAAAGTGTAGTTTGAAATGTTGAAAAAGTAATAAATTAAAAACTAATAAATAATTTGATTCATTTTCATACAATTTGCATTAGAATGTCCGTCTGTCCGTCCGAGTTTGGTTCCAATCGATGCATAATTAAGAAAAATCCCGATGATTTCGTCCATTTAGAGTCATCGGTTCGAAACGTCGAGGTCGTCACGTCATCCTGTAGCTCGTCCCCAATTATGCCGAAATCGATCCACATTTTTCTTCAATATCAAATCCTTAGTCCCATCCTGATGAAGATGTAAACGAAACATCGTATCCCATTTTGCAGGGTGGGACCGCGTGCACCGTCGCTCACATAGCCTACCAACCAAATTTGGTCACGATTGGACGACATGAACTTTTGACGTTTCTTACCTTAAAAGTAACCGTCACAGTCAAGACCGTGACACGACACGGCCTTGAAACACAAGCTAACGAGAAAGAATAGTGGTAAGTCAATGATGGGTCTTTGGAGCATCGTAACTCGTAACACAGTTTAAAGAATATAAAATAATCAGTTGACCCTCTCTAAGGAATTCTATTGTTATTTTGACTTCAAAGGCGGCCCGTGACCCTTCGAGGTGACAAAAAATTTGTACGTTTACCGGGTGCAGCGGAAGTGCTATTTTATCAGTCAGAACGCTAGCCGTATACGAGGGATCAACTAAAAATACTAAGGAATTTTAATACAGCAAGTAGAAAGATAAAAATACAGTACTAGTTTTATTGATTAACAGTTTTAGGCGTCTTTAATAATTAATCAATATTTATTTACTTTCTTCTTATTATTATTTAATAACATATCTCATTGTTTACAAATATAAATACGATATGAATTGAAATGTGAAATAAAAAACGGATTTTAGTTAAGTACATTATCTTATTATACTAATTTATTCATGTTAATTTTACAACAAAATAATTTACATATTTTACCATCAATGTTAATACATAACGATTATACCTGAATATGTATATATATATATATATATATATATATATATATATATATATAGTTTTAGGCGTCTTTAATAATTAATCAATATTTATTTACTTTCTTCTTATTATTATTTAATAACATATCTCATTGTTTACAAATATAAATACGATATGA